AATTTCCATACTGGTTTACATTCCCACTAACAAGGTAGAAGAGTTCTTTTCCTCCACAGCCTCTCCAGCATTTGAAATTATTTGATTTCTTGATGATAGCTGGTCTTTTTGAAGTGAGATGGAATCTCAATGTCATTCTAATTTGCATTTCTTAATGACCAGTGATGTTGAACATTTTTTTCATATATTTATGGGTCATTGGCATTTCTTATGTGAAGTGTCTGTTCATTTCAGTTGACTGCCTTTTGACTGAGTCATTCATTTTGGGAGGTCTAGCTTTTTGAGTTCTTTATATATTCCAGATATTAATTTTCAGTTCAAGGTGTACTTGGCAAAGCATTTTTCCCATTCTGTGGGTTGTATTCACTCTGCTGGTGGCTTAATTTGCTGTGCAGAAGCTTTTCAATGTGACATAATCTCATTTGTTGACTCTTAATGTTATTTCTTGTGTAGCTGGGCTTTTGTTTGGATAGACCTTGTCTAAGTCTGTGACCTCCAGAATTTTACCTACTTTATCTTCCAGTTGGTTAGGTGTTTCTGTTTTAATATTTAGATCTTTGATGCATTTTGATTTTAGTTTAGTGCATGGTGAGAGACATGTGTCTAGCTTTAATCTTCTGCATGTGTGAAATCAATCTCCATGGCACTATTTGCTAAAGAGGCTATCTTTCCTCCAGCATGTTTCTGGCCCCTTTATCAAAGGTAAGTTGGTTGAATGTATCTGGAGATGTTTCTGTGTGCGCTGTTCTGTTCCACTGATCCACATGTTTGCTTTTGTGCCTGTGCTGTTCTTATCGCTGTGGCTTTGTAATATAACTTGAAGTCTGAGATTGTGATGTCTCTTGCTTTGCTCATCTAGGAGAGCTATTCTGGGTCTCTTCTGGTACCACTGAATTTGAGGATTGTTTTCTTTAGTTCTGTGAGGAATGCTGTTGATATTTTTCTTGAGATTGCATTAAATCTGTATATCAGTTTTGGGAGTATGGCCATTACTACAATATTGGTTCTGCCTATCCAGAAGCAGGGGATGTCTTTCCATTTTCTGATATATTCTTTGAACTACTTTTTTAGAGTTCTATAGTTTTCATTGTAGAGCCTTTCATGTTCTTGATTAGATTAATTCCTAAGTATTTAATTGTTCTTGGTGCCATTGTGAATGGTACAGTGTTCTAATTTATTTCTCGGTTCATTATTGGTATACAGGAACACTATTTTTTTGTGTGTGTTGGCTGCATATCCTGCTACATTGCTGAAGTTAATTATTAATTCTAGAAGTCTTTTGGTGAAGTTTTTTAGATCTTCTATGTAAAGGATCATGTCTTCTGACAATAATGATAGTTTGGCATCTTCCTTCCCTATTTGTAAACTTTTCATTTCTTTCTCTTGCCTGATTGCTCTAATGTTTTGAGAACTGTATTGAACAGGAGTGGCGATGGTAAACACCCTTGCCTGTCCCTGATTTTAAGGGGAAAGCTTTCAACTTTCCCTCGTTTTATATGATGTTGGCCATTGTTTTGTCAAAAATGGCTTTTGTCAGATTGAGCTAAAGTCCTTCTATCACTATTTTCTTCAGGGTTTTTATCATGAAAGGATGTTGGATTTTGTCAAAGGCTTTTTCTGCATCTATTGAGATGATAATAAGATTTTTGTCCTTGCTGCTTTTATGTGATGTACTACATTTATTGATTTGCATATGTCGAACCATGCCTGTATCCCTGGGATGAAACCTACTGGGTCAAGATGTATGAGCCTTTTGGTGATTTGTTGCATTCTATTTGCCCATATTTTATTGAAGATTTTTGCGTCTATGTTCATTAGAGAGACTAGCCTGTAGTTTTCTTTTTTTGGTTGGGTCCTTATCCGGTTTTGGAATCAGAGTGATGCTGGTTTCCAGGAATAAATTTGAAAGTACTCCTTCTTTTTCAATTTCATTAGAATTTGAGGAGTATTGGTGTTGTAACATCCCTAAATGTCTTGCAGAATTCAGCTGTGAATTATCAGTTATTTTAATGAGTGTGGGTATACTAGTATTTACCTGTCTAAATCCGTCAAAGTATAACACTTAAAGTTCTACGTTTCACTGTATTCAAAATATACATTATTTTTCAAAATTGGAAGAAAAGAATAATGACTAATTTTGTGTAAAATGTATCCAATCAGAATTCTTTCAGAAATAAACAATGAGTGAGCTGGAGGTGTAGCTCAGTGGTAGAGCACTTGTCTAGCACGCTTGAGGCCTTATGGTCTTATGGGTGCTCAGAACCACACACCAAAGTGCCAGGTTAGAGATGCAGGGCTTGAAGCAATTTATTCAGTCAGCAATTCTGAGTACCTACTATACATCTGCCACTAGTTTAAGAGTTCTGAACGCTTATGTCAGTGAGCAAAACAGATACCTGCTTTCAAGATGCCAAAAACCTAAAAGGGGTAGAATGGGAAAAAGACAGAAAGTTGGGAAAACCATGAAAATAAGTCAATGCTAAAATGTTTAAATATGTGAAAAGTGCTATCAGAAAAAGAAACAGAAAGCTTCACCCCCAGTGACATTATCGTTTCATTCTCCATCCACCCCCTGAGAGCAAGTTTCAAAACTTATGGACATGCCTGTATTCACAGATCACCACTTTTGACTTTATTAATTGATTTACCACTTAGTAAAAGCATTTCAGAATAGGTGTGTACATGTATGTGCATGCATGTGGGTGTGTGCATGCATGAGTGTGTTTTAAAAAGACTTAGGTGACCATATTTGCTTTATTCCTCAAGCTGATGGAATATTCAATAGTGGAATGAATATATATCAAGGTGTCAGGAATATATATCAGGATGGGGTGGATCCAAGGACATTTTGTTCAATGCTAATCGCATTTCATATACGACTGAGTCATAGTCATATTGAGTTATCAAGTCAAAGAGCAGCCTTTTTGTCTTCTGTATAAAAGACAAGCTGCTTAAAGTTACAGAATTCAGACGCCCAAGTCATTATGATGTGGTTGTACAGAAAAGATGCAGCACAGATAATTCAAAATAAACAAGAACCATGTGCTGTAGGAATAATTCTTCCTCAGGTCATAATATCTGGCACAAAACATAAATAAAGCCCTGTTTTTCTCCTTTAGTGCCCTGCTGCGAAGGAGCACAGAGCCAACTTGCTATCTGCCAGGAGCAGCAGAGTTGGGGGTCGGCCTTCAGCTATGGAAACTCGTCTTATATTTTTAACAAGATGTTGACTGAAAACATAAGAGATTCCTCAACAAGAAGCAATAATATTAATGGTTCAAAATCTCCTTCAGTGAGACTATCTGACATACTAAAATATTAAGCCCACACTTTTTTTATAGCTAGAAAATACACCCAAAATCAAGGGTTTTATATTTTTTATCTTGGTTACTGTTTTTAATTACTTATTTTGGAAAAAGCAGTCTCTAATCATGTTCTCTCCTGGACCCTCTAATCTTGAATACAGAATACAGAATAGGATTTTTCCATTTGATAGGTGGCTTTCTACTGCTTATCCCCTGCCCCTGTAGCTGTGTGTACATAACTCTGCTCACATAGAATACCTGCTCACATGTTAAAATGCCACACACATTTCTCCTTTTTCTTGGTCAAATCTTTCCCAATCAACATATTTGGAAATTATCTGTCTCTCCTCCCAGTACACACAGAAAAAAAATCATTCATCCCACTTACACAGTCAAGAGAAATACCAGGTGATTTCCTGTTATAATTATCCCTCTTAGAGTCCACACCCAGATTAGTGTAATAAAATTCATAGGTTCAATGTGCAAAACACAAAACACAGTTTAAACCTAGGCTGCATTCTCCTAATTGATTTGTGAATGTTGTCTTTTATAACTCACAGTTGTTATGAGTGACAGTCCCCTGATGAACTCACAAAAGCACATCTAGAGGCTTAGATAACAAATCTGAGATATGGCATCAACAATATCCTTTGAAAAATTATTTTTGTTTTTAAAATTTTTATTAGTATGTGTGTGCAGTAATAACTATTACATTCATGGTGGGGAGGTGGTACATATATGGCATATTTTCATTCTTTTTATTTCCCCTTCCCTTTCCCTCCCTCCCCACTCCCATCATCTCTTGGTCCCCTTCCCATTTTCAAAACATCTATTTCCCTGTTGTCTATTATGAAAATATATGCACCTTGATACCATAATGTTAGGTGAAAGAAATCAGACACACAAATTTAATATCACATGGTTTCTCTTACATGAGAAACGTGAAGTATAAATACAGTGTACGATTATTTTGCTGAAAAAATACATTTTAAAATATAGTATGCAATTTTGTTCTGCATCTACTCTGCCAATATCAAGCTGATCAGATATGATTTAGTGATCAAAAGAGGATTAAATGTTTGCTCATAACGGAATATTCTACTAAGCCCCATTAATTGGTTATGGTTCCCTAACATATCCACAGGATTAGCTGTCAGCCTACAGTTTCCAAGTCTGTGCCGCAGCCTCAGGGACAACTTATGCAAACTCAAACACCACCTTGTTCCAGCAGTCAGAAGGACCTGTCCATGCAGGGGCCAGGCAGGTGGTGACTGCATGGTGCCACACAGAACCATCATCGCTCCATTTTGGTTGAATTCTTAAAAGCACAAAAATTTAAAATAAGATAATGCTATTCACCCTCTTTAGCATCTTCTCTCATACTGCTCCTCTACAAAAGTACTCAGTAGAGAAGATATTTAAGGTTAGAGGAAAGAGAAAAAAATCTGGTTCATGGGTGGTCAGATCGATCAGAAAAACATTCAAAAATATGGAAATAAACACTTTGCAAAGAAGGAAATTACAAAATTCAGGCTAATGCGAGTTAGCTTATTTTCTTTCTGTTCCATTTCTTTTGGAGGAATCTCATATTTTCCTTAATAATCAAAGCAGTAAGAAGAATCATCCTAACCTGTGAAAACACGCTCCCTTCTCTGAGAGCTATGTTGTGGCAGAAGTCAGAACAGGTGCTCTTACCTCTCAATTCCCCCATATCCAGGCTTGTCCCAAGCTGTTCTAGCAGAGCAACTCTAGCCGCATTCTTTTTGTGTTTCTTGCCCTCATAATGCTGCTGGGCCATCAGGGGGTTGTTGAACCAGGCTGCACAGAGCCCGCAGTACCTGTCCGAGTCTCTTCTTTGATAAGCAGATTCAACCACGGGAACAGCCTCCACCCGGGTGGGCTTAAGTGAGCTCAGGGGTGTGGCTGTAAAAGACAACAACCAGAGGACCATGGGACAGTTAGTCCGTTTTTGTTTTGTTTTGTTTTATGTAGTGCTGGGAATTGCACTAAGGACCTTTGCCCTGAGCTACACCCCCAGACAGACTTACTTACTGATTTATTTATTTCTTCTTATTTTGAGACAAGATCTCACTAAGTCTCTAAATTTCTTGAATTTGTAATCCTCCTGCCTCAGCTTCCCAGAGTGCTGGGATAACAGGCATGCACTACCAAGACTGGTTGTGTTAGTCCATTTCCAAAGATTAAGGGCATTTTCCTCATTACTCTAAGATTAAAGAAAATCATGTTCATGCTAGAGTTCAAAAATCCAAGAAAGTTTTTTGAGAACAGGAAAATTATCTTCGCCTACCTCCATTTTTGAGTTGGGACACGAAAAAAATTTCTAAGCTATTGCAATAAAAATTTGCCAACTTTCATGCCAAAATCTGATTCCTTAATAGACTATTCCTTGAAGAAAAAATATGGTTTTAAAAAATAAACTCTGCAAAGTTAAGGGAGTTATCTGTTAATCAAAATGCAGCTAATACTTGAAGTAAATGTTGAACAATCATAACTTGAAAGATTCTGAATGAATGAGATGAATATTGTGTGCTATAAATGGAGATAACAAATAAAGGATTTTTTTAAGTGGTAGAAACAGATTTTTCAGTCATGTGAATGGTACCAACAGAGGAAAGTATGCTAATTTTGTTATTTCGATTTATTGGGATATTTTTCAACCTCTACCTGCTAAAATTAACTTTGAAATTGCAACATTGTTCCCCAAAAGGCAAAAAAACAAAACAAAGCATAAAAAACACTATAGAGCAGATGCTGCTTATCTAAGCTAAAAAGGTACATACATCACTATTTTGAGATTACACAGTCCCAGCTATTAATACATTCCACAATGAACTTACAGTTATTTCTGGCTTAGGGAAAAAACCTCAAAATTTAATTCAAAGGAGTTTACTAATTAAGAGTAGAAATAATTTTGTGTGTATCAACATGGCAAATTGTTTCCATCCTCAATGGCTGGCTGAGAGTACGGTCTTATTTCTCAGAAGACTGACTTCTGAGAGGTCACTGACTTCAGAGAAGTTACAGGAAAGGTAAAACTCTAAACCAAGTGCGTACTTTCCAAGGCCAAGATTCCTTCCATGTCCCCAAGAACTCTTTTCAAAGTAAGTAAGTAGAGATTGTTTTTCCTAGGCTGACACCATTGTATTTTATACATGATTTCACTTAATCTTAGAAAAAATATTCTGATCCAAATATTTTAGGGAAGAAAACAATATTTAGATTCTTCTATGGTTCTTTCACCCTGTGCAATTTAGCAGTCTCCTTATTTCCTGATGAGGCATGCAGCTCCCAAAACCATGAACAACAGTCATTGTTGGAAGAAAAGGTGGCAACTTGAGACATCCATGACAGGCTAGGGAACCAATTAATCCACACCCCAGGATGTCACATAATTTTTTTGTTTACATTAAATAACTGATATAGAAATACATACTTGCCAAGTGATATTTTATTCAAGAAATGCCTGTACCATAACAATTACCTCAGTAACTCCAGTGATTTTATCACATCAGAAGTTTGAGGCAGTTTAAACTTAGAGGAACTATTTCTATAGTGACTCAGATAAACAATATGTCTCTTAAAAGTCTCATTAGAATTCAGTCATCTATAATCATGTGGGAATAAAGCTCAAATATGGGCCAAACATCCCAGTAGCCAGCCATACTATCATTCTCTATGACTTAGAAATGCTAATAAAAACTATAAAATGGGTATCACAATTCCCAACTTGAAACTATACAACAAAGCTACTGTGATAAAAACAGCATGGTACTAGCAAAAAAACAGACCTGAGAAACAGTGGAATAGATTAGAAGATGCAGAAACAACTCCAGACATACTTAGCCACCTCATCCTTGACAAAGGGATCAACCACTGTCATTGGAGGAAAGATAGCCTATTTAATAAATGGTGTTGGAAAAACTGGATTTCAACCTGCCAAAGATTAAAACTAAATCCATACCTATCACCATGCACTAAACTAAGATCGAAGTTGATTAAAGATCTAAATATTAAAACAGAAACACTAAACTTGCTGGAAGATAAGTTAGGTAGAACTCTTGGAGACATTGGCATAGGAAAAGACTTTATGAACAAAACCTCAGTAGCATGGGAACTAGCATAAAGAATCAACAACTGGGGTCTCATCTTATTGAAAAGCTTCTGCACTGCAAGACAAACCCCCCCAACAGAGCTAAGAGACAACCTACAATGTGGGAAAAAAATTTTAGCAGCTGTACCTCAGACAAAGGACTACTATCCAGAATATATAAAGAACTCAAAAAAATCAGACCCCCAAATTCAAAGACCCAATTCAAAAATTGGCATCTGAAATGAACAGACATTTCTCAGACAAAGAAGTAAAAGCAGCAAATAAACATATGAAAAAATGATCAACATCGCTGGTCATTTGAGAGATGCAGAGGAAAACAACACTGAGATTCCACCTCACCCCACAAAGAATGGCGCTATCAAGAAATTAACTAATAACCAATGCTGGCGGGGGCATGGGGAAAAAGGAACCCTTCTCCATTGTTGGTGGGAGTGCAGACTGGTGCAACCACTATGGAAATCAGTGGGAGATACTTCAAAGAACTAGAACTAGAGGTCCCATTTGACCCAGCTATTCCCCTGTTGGGAATCTTCCCAAAAGAATTAAAAGAATCATACCACTGCAATATATGGGCACCCATGTTTATAGTGGCACAGTTTGTAATAGCTAAAGCTTGGAAACAGCCCAAGTGCCCATCAACTGGAAACTGGATAAAGAA